ATGCCATGCTCCTCATATGGAACCCCTTTCCATCATTGAACAGTATGATCTTTCCATACCTCTGTGCCTTTGCATATGCTACTCCTTCTCCCTAAGACATCCTCTCCCCTCTTTAATCTACAATGGCTGCCATCAAACACCTCAGGGATTACCTCCTTCATGCTCTTCTCAAAAACCTCTATTTTTTTCTCAGGTGGAGTGAGATGTGCTTCCTTTTTGTGTGCCTTTTATCACTCTGCTCCTACTAAAAACTGACAAAATTGGCAGTTCTCCTAAGCTAGACAGCTATTACCCATTCTAGAGATATCAAAGAGAAGTTAATTCACCATTTACAATTTATTTGTTAGGGCTTAGTCCTCTGAGGGCAGAAAGGACGTTGCCCCATTAGAAGGCTATTCTGAACTACAAATATTTTGAGGACAAGGACTGGTATCTTTATTATTAGCATAGGGCCTAGTTCATGTTCATTGATTAAATAAGAACATGTGAATAGCTACTTTCTTCTAAAGAATTCAAAGAAAAAAAATACAGAAATAGTCCAAAGAAATTCTTAACTTCTGAGAACAAATGCCTCAGTTCTCCAAGACTTAGTCTCTGCCACATCTTTACCAATTATGTGTTCCATAGATGTCTGGCACAAGTAAGCATCCAATCATTCATGGACTTGTCTTTCCCCTTCATTGTTTTTTTCTTTTTAAATTGACCTGGGGGGTGGTGAGAGAAAGAGAAAGGAAGAAAGGGGGAGAGAAAGAAACATCTGCTCATTGTTCCACTTATTTATGCATTCATTGGCTGATTCTTCTATGTGCCGTGACTGGGGATGGAACCTGCAACCTTGGTGCATCTGGATGAAGCTCCAATCAACTGAGACACCCAGCCAGGGCCCCCTTTCATTGCTCTAGTATTCTCTATCTTGAACTGTATCCAAATAGGCTTCGCAGTTTCACTCAGTGGTTAAAAACAGGTTTGAAGACCCAGAGCTGAGAACTACTAGTCTGAATGACCACACAGATACAACTGTGAGAGTCTGTCATATACTTAAAATTTCATTTTACCTTGATGAAATATAGTCCTTAACCCATTATATGTTCACTTTGAAATGGAGGCAGTGATATGAGACTAAGAAATAAAACCTATTATAGCTTCAAGAAATGTCTAAAATATAAATACAGTAAAACTATAAATAGGTATCCAACCAAACTTTTATTGGGGTTTTATTGCAATCTACTTTCAGCAATAAGGGTAAAGGAACCATAAGAAATCCAACCAGATTTTATTCAACAAAGCAGTTTTTCATGAATGCTTAAGGTCAGTGTATATAGTCAGCTCAGCTTCCAGTATCAACTCGAGTACCTCATCATGGAAATTTAGGCCAGAATGACAACAGTAAGCCATTGCAAAATCCCAAATCACCTGATTAAACCATATTTTACATATAAAGTATACTAATACTTTGTAATAAATAAGGATTTAAAAAGTGTTGCTTAGCCCTTGTTGAACTAAATTCAATTATTAGCATATTCTTTAAGTACTCCAGTTAATAAAGGTTTGATTGTACTTCAAGAACCATGACTTTTCCAAAGATAAAATTAGTTCTTGTTATGACAAAAATTAAGCTTACAAGCACATTCACACTTGTCCTTAAAAGCATGTCTACATCATATATGAGATAACTTCTCATGCCTGGAGACATGGTTCATATGGCAAAAAGTCATATGCAAAGAAGTAGAGGGCAATCCTCCCATGTCCACAACTTCCAAAAAGCCACACTCGGCCTCAGTGTAAAAGCTGTATTTTATTGCCATGCTACAAAATGTATGAAGTTGGCACTGATAGAAACAGAACAAAGGATGGGGAAGGAGAGTGGGCAAAAGATGTTGTTACATATACAACAAGGTTTTAATCAACAGTGGTAAATTTTGCCAATATGAAAAATGCAAACCAAATTTAAAATGCTGATATGAAACAGCATTAAAATACAATTTATGCATAGTACAGTATCACTTATGTCTTTTATTAGAGAAATGTGGAATGTTCATAAAAGAAATTAACCATGGGGGTAAAATTCATATTTCATATACAATTTGGCAATGGTAGTCCCACTGTTAAGACAATTTTTTATAAAAGAAAAAATTAAAAATCTAATAAGCTACCTTTATACAAAGTTGCTATATTTATGCCTTTATGTAGGAAAAAAACATTTATAATGCAAATTAGGACATACAATAATCTTACAATATTATACAATGTAATGAAAATAAAAACATAACACAAAATTTGTCCTTTATAAAATGTGTATTTTGCATTTACTTATGCAAATGTGGCACACCGGTGACTACTGTACTATTAATACCAGTCCATCATAGAATCGCAGTTGTAATGATGCTACAAAACAATTGTTATACCCCCCCAAAATGAGGAAGTAGGAATGGGGAATAGGGATGCAAAGAACAGGAAAGATAGATATGGTGCTGGTTTGGGCAGAGTATCATGTGGTAAGTCATAAAATAGTTGTTAATTTTTGAAACCAAAAACATTTTCTATACATTCTGGAATTCCGTACCAATGCCTTTATTCAAATTTGGCAAACATCAGGGAAAAGGTAATTAGTACCATATACCTCATATATCAGAAATATGAATGAGATGCCAATACATCAGTTACTTCTGAATGTTGTCTCCGATGGTATGTCTATTTCAAGCATATATATGTATATATGTGTATATACATATATATTTACACATACACACATATTACACACATTGCACAAAACACTTGGGCATTATGGGTTAGGAACAGCACAGGGGAAAGTGGGAAGTACTTTTTAGCTTGTTAAAACTTTTACCTTGAGGCAAAAATATGGTGGCACAGTACTGGGAAATTATGAAACATAAGGCCCCTGTCCCATTTTTAATAGAACACTACTGAGGTACATTTTTATATGTTGTGCCACAGATTCCTTTGCGGGGGGTTGATAAACACTAGCTTGACTTATAACATTGAACTGTGGGATCAACATCAGTATCTATAAAAACAAAGATTGCTTGGCAAATTTTCATAAGTCCCAAATGTGATCGATTCTGGATATACTGGGAAGTGAAAAGCTTTTTGCTGAGTCTTCAAGAGTAAAGTGCATATCTCATCACTCCACAGCAGCAGTAAATAAAAGGAACTATTTGCCAATTTTCCTGGAGGGAGAAAAGGCACCATATTTTCAGTTTTAAAAGAAGATGAAACTGGGAAATAAAACACACTAAGAAAAAACACAGTCAATACCCATATCAGTTTCCAACCCTGGTCTGGGATAAAAGCTGTTATGATCTATATGGATAAAAGAGGATTCTGTTTGGGAAAACATATGAACAATGATTATATTTCTAAAACTGAAAAGTGGGATCACATGGTCTACCAACAGAACAGAATATCTAAAATTAGGTCTGCCTCAGAAAATCTGAAACATATGGCCACAATTATATCCCAATAAAATATCACATTCTAAAATGCACCTCCTAATAGGTACATTCTTCCAGGATGGAGCTTAATGCCCATGACTAGACTACTGCAAAGGACAAGGAGTGTTCTACATTACTTTTTATTAAATAGGATCACAGGTGATTTCCAGAGACATCTAGAAATTAACACCAGTTGTATGTATACATCTTCCTAATACTCATAGTACCTAAAACCAAATTCTTAGCAAATTGGTCCCATTTCTGTTTTTAAAGCATACAGTATTTAAAGCATAAACTGCAATGATTATATTGGAGTTACCTAAAAAATATAAAAACTAATTAGAATCTGGAAGGAAGAAAAAGGATTAGTAAAAGAAAATAAAGTATCCAACCTCCAAAATGAATAAATAGGTCAGCCCTTCTATTTGGAGGTTAATGTTCTGTCTTGACTGCTTATTTGAGATAAAACCATGTGTACTAATTCCATCACAATTCGTATTCCACATTACAAAAATCACATAAATTTGGCACAATTAGCAATCTACTCAGAAGAAAACATAAATGCAACAATATATTAAAAATGGAAACTGCACACCTACACCACTGCTCTCTTTTTAGAGAACAGTGAACACTTTAGTAAGCACCAAGTTCACAGGAAAAAAAAAAAAAAAGAAATTCTGCTATGCACATAAACCAATGGCACTGAAAATAATAGACACCTTTAATAAGTTATTTTTCTTTATAATGGTCCCATTCTATTATTTTGCTAATCCATTCACTGTCCTATAATTGGTTATTTATTGAACAGGTTGGATGCTATGTGACTGAAACTTTCATGCTAACTTAACCTTAGTTACATCTGGTAGATCCAGATCATAATCTCAAACTTCCTCAAATTTAGAGAAAATGGTAAAATATTTTGCAAGGTTACCTAACCTTCTTTTCACGCTACCTCTACCTTCTCTTATCTTCTCTAGTGTTTGGGAAACTGGAACATTCTTGATTATCCAAGAGTTGGACATATGACCTCTTGTCAGTTCACACAAGCTTCAATTCATTTTAAATCCCAAATTATGACATAATCTCATTGCTACAAGACTTCCACTGTACCTGCTATGCTGGCAATAATCTTAACATTCCATTAAAATCAGGGATAATCAAAGATCCAGCTACGAATGAAAGGACAGCAGAGCTGAGGAGCACTACAGTGGGCAAAGTACTATTGCAGCCATGTGACTTGAGGGAATCACTGCTAAAGTGCTGGGGAGGGTGCCCACAGAGAAAACACAGTACCGTTAGGGAACTTTGTATGTTAAAAATAGCTTTTTTTTTTTTTTCCCTCAGCTGCTAAAGAGATCACCTATGGACACAAGTAAAATTTAAAACTGAGAGAATGTTTTTATCAACTTGAAAAGTAAACAGCATATAAATAAATACTGGACAAGGGCAACCCTGTTATAGAATAACAGTAAGTTCCAAATGAACCTTCAGAACCACAATTTGACAAAAATGCAAACTACACATAATGCAAACTACACAATAAACACATAATCCATTTTTAAAACTATTTACAAACTCAAACATTTTAAATTGAAAGAGACATTAAGCAACAAAATGAGACATCCCAAACACCAAAGGAAAAAACTGAAGGTAAATGGCAATCTAATGGCACAAATGCCTCCATAAGCAATATTATCGTTAATAATCCATAGGAGAGACACTTTCAAGAGATCACGGTTCAGATTTTCAAATGTTTTGGGGTAAAGGGACCTGAGACCGATTCTCGAGCCTACCGTAATTCTGATTCAGGTATCTGGGCATGCCCTTCCAATAACCATGAGATGAATGAACAGAAAATCTTGTCTCCTTCCTGACTTTCAACACACCAACAGCAACCACATTCACGGACACAGGACTTTCTAGTCAGCTGAAGGCAAAGGAACTGACTGGTATATAAGGAGTGTGGTACTTCTATTTCCTTTACATATGGTTTGGCTCAAGTCAAAAAGCCTACAATTAATGAAATAAAGGATTCCTCATGTTACATGCTAGATGCCACATACCATGAACAGTGAATCTACAAATATTACTTTCAAAGCCTAGAGTTATCTGTTAGCAATGTACATTATCAAGAGGCTTTATAAAATGTTTTAAATGCCAACCATGACTTATGCATGAAGGATATGCGTAAGTCCCGAATATTGATAAAAATCAACCAGCATGTCACTCACTTCAACTCTCATTTTAAATAGGCACTGTGAAAACGGGAGTGCTGCTGTACAGGAATGAGTAGTATATAATGAAATTAGTGTTTTTAATGAGTACCTGCTCTACATTAATTCCCTTTCAAGAAGCACATGAAATAGTTAAAAAAAAATGATCAGTCTATAAAAGGAGTTAGTGTTTAGAAAAGAAAATGAAGCACTTGCATCTTCATTTTTAAAAAATTCACAAAGGTGCAAACAATGTAATGCTTTCCAGGCTCACATGGGCAGATCAGTACTATTATGTCTAGTTTTCCTAGATGTACCATCATCTCGTGGTAGTGCTTTCTGCAAATTTGACATAGCAGCAGTTTTCTCAATGTCTATCACAGCATACAGCTCTGTGCGCCTGGTAGGGGTCTGTGGAAGAGGAGTTGTAGGCGTTTTTGGAGTCTGAGGGTTGTCGGAGTCACTGCCTCCTTCCAAGTCAACCTGTATGTAATTGAGCTGCCTGTGTTCTAAACTCGGGCGTCTGATATCAAAGTTAAAGACTGTCGGTATGCAGTCCCGACGCCTTGAATATTCTATTTTGTGAGCACTTGCTGGCACTGTTACATTCTCTGTATTTACATAGTTATGCATTGGATCTAGATTATTATGGTAGCCATTTAGAGATGGGGTCTTTGGTCCTAAATTGTCATCTTCATCCCTACTTAGCTTGCGGGCTTCCCAAACAGGAGGCAAAGATGGTAAATTTTCATAGTTTAATAATGCAGTTCTTCTCTGAGCTGAGTTGTTGATATTCTGGGTATCTGAGGTACTGGTGGATGTCAGACGACCTCTCCTGACCCCTGAGGCACTAGGGATAGATAACCCATTTATATTTTCATACACCAGTTTGTTAACAGAGGGCGCATCTCTTCGTTCATCACTGTCATATCCAGTGTCCCATTCTGTGTTATTTGCACCACTTCCACTGACTTGATCTCTTCCAATTTTCTCCAGTTTCTCTTTTTCCATTAATTGCTTTTGAACAGGAGTTGGTCCTAAGACAAATCTGACTACTTCAGGTTCAAGAAGAACCTGAGGGTCCCTGTCCTCAATACTACTAGGTTCTTCTTTTGGAGTGTTGCTTTCAGCACTAGAAATCCTTGCCTCCAAAGGGACATGCACACTTGCACAATTTTTCCGCTCTTCTTGCACACCTGTAGTGTTCACGTAAGTATGTACCTAAAACAAAAGAGTAAAGTGAATCGGTAACTCGCTTAAAAAAAATGAAAATTAAACAAAAGAACTCTGACCATATCTGTTAATTTTACTGATTAGCTTTCTCCCTACATAAACTCTTATTCTGAAGCTTTTGAACCTGTTTTTTTTTAACTAATAAAAAGATATGGGGGGAGGGCAGGGAAGGGTGTAGAAATGTAGCTTTCTAGTTTGATAAAAGAATAAACTACTCTGCCCTGACCAGTGTGGCTCAGTTGGTTGAGCGTTGTCCCACAAAGGAAAAGGTCACAGGTTCAATTCCCAGTTAGAGCACACGCATGGGTCAGGGAGCATATGAGAGGCAACAGGTCAATGTTTCTCTTTCACATCGATCTTTCTCTTCCTCCATTCCCCTCTCTCTAAAAATAAGTAAATAAAATCTTTTTAAAAAAATTTTTAATAAAAGAGTAACTACTGTAACATGCAACATTAGACTTGCTAGTGAAACATGAAAAGCATTTTGTTAAAAAAAAAACCCATCAAGAACAAATAGGGATTATAATTTTGGTATTGTTCTAGAAAAATGCTCATGAATGCATTAAGCCATGATTCAGAAACAAATATTAAAAAGATACAAATTTATCATTATTTACAGATGATTTGACTATCTAAAGAAATAAATCCTACTAGATTTAGTAAGAGTTCTGTAAAATTCAGATATAAAATAAATATGACCTACTAAGAATCACTAAAACAATAATGAGAAGCTCAATGGTATTTTGGGGGACAATATAAAAAAACATTTAGAAGTCTATCCATAAAATATGAAAAACTAAAAAAAAGTGCAAAATCAAGAGAAATGTAATTACAATAAATAATAAAAGAGCCCATGCACTATGTAAAGAACACAAATGAATTTTAAAACAACAAAAGTTTCTTAATGACAAAAAACTATGGGGTTTACAAAAGATAAGTATGCAACTAATTAATGCACAGACCACGTTTAACCAGATGCTTTATTCCTCAAATGAAAAATAGAAGAGTCAGGAATATTATTACATAGTTCTTTAAAAACATCAACAACAAAAATCTACCTTCCTGCTAGTAGTCCACTAATTATAAACTATAATAAAAGCAGTAGCATAAATTCTGAATTGACTGGAAGTTATTATAATGGGAATTGGCCATAAGTCACGTCTGTCTTTACCTATAGACGCTCCTCTCCTGAACCCTCAAACTACTATAATGCTAAGTTTCCCTCAACACCTGTACAGATTTCAGCATATGTAAGGAAATATACACTATTTCCTCTGACTCTTCACTACAAAGGTCATATACAGTGAAAGCTAAATTCAAACTGACTGAAATCTTCAACTCCACGCTTGAACTCCACACAAGCCATTATCCTGTTAGACAGTGTAGCACAAGCTTACCTGTTCCTCAGCCACAAGCAAAGGATGTGTAGATTCTTCACCTACTGAAGGCAAGCGTGCACTTCCCACAGAAGGATGTCTGCTTGAAGGGTGGGATGAAGCATCTCCAAATGAGGGATATCGGGGATATCCATTAGGTAAGTTCTGAGCAGCAAACCCTGGAGCTGAGTTTTTGTTTGTTTATTGGTTTAAGAAGAAAAGCAGGATACAGAGGCAGGGGAAAGAGAATAAAAATGATTAAAAATCCAGTCTTCACTGACAGGATTACAGAAGGTGTTTCTGGCAAGACATTCGAAATCAGAGCACAAACGGCACACCCTCCATGCCAACTTCCCATTCACATATTAGATAAAATGAAACGTTTAATGTCACCATATTTAAAATAGTCAACATGTTTGTAATTGTAGCTAATGGCTTTTTAAAACCTACAACCATTACATTTACAATAGTCTATAATTTATAAAATACAAGAAGGAAAATAGATACTTACTTGTAGGTGTTCGAGGTGTTCTGGGGACTTCCAATTCTGTCTGATGATTATTCCTTTCAACAACTGGCTCTTCCACCACATTTATACTATTATTTTGCATAATCTCTTGCAACATGTTAAATAACTCTTCTGCACGAGCACACTTAAAGGCAAAGATTCCTATAAATACAAACCAGAAGGGAACAATGGTTACTACATCTTTTAAAAAGATACAGGAGCACCTGTCAAAGAATAAAACTGTAAAATAGGCATTCTGTGTACCAGTAGCAAGAAAGGTGCTTTCAATAAACATCTGATAAATTAATGGTATTCCCTGTTTCAAAACATAAACCCCCCAAAAAGTTGACAGAACAGTTTTCATTTGTCTAAGGGAGATGGCTCAAAGTAAGGCAGACACAAACAAGATTTGAACTTACTTCAATCTGCTTTTAACAGCAGAGGGAGCCCCACTCACCATTACCATGGTGATCCTACACCATTTGACAGGCCTGGCTCTGTTACCATTTTTAATTATTATAATAATTCTGTAAGAAGTACTGGCTGGTGTGTTTCAGTGGATTGGGTGCTGGCCTGAGAACCTAAAGGTCACTGGCTCAATTCCCAGTCAGGGCACATGCCTGGGCTGCAGGCCTGGTCCCCAGGTGGGGGCGTGCAAGAGGCAATGTTTCTCTCACACATTGATGTTTCTCTCCCTTTCTTTCTCCCTCCTTTCCCCTCTCACTAAAAGTAAATAAGTCTTTAAAAAAAAACCCAACTAAACTAAAATTAAAAAAACAATTCTGTAAGGAGGGATTATCATTCACCTCTGAGAAAAAATTTGATGCTTGATCAAGGTAACTTGCCCAAGGCCTCTCAAATTGTAGGTAGCAAAATAATCAAACTACATACTGACTCCGAAGTTTAGGGTCTTTTCCCAACAAGTTATAACAGTAAAAATATAGTCAATTTACTGGGACTAATCATTTACTGAAAATCTTAAAGCTGATATGAGTCAAAATTCTAGACATAGAGAATATGCTTAATAAATGCTTGCTGAACAAATGCATAGTTTACTGTATCTCTTTTCTTAACAAGGCATTCATTTGGGTAGTTTTTTTCCTATCAGAAGAAAGTAAAATATTAACTATTCTATATAGAGTAAGTAAAAGAACAGTATTTCAAATGTGACAAGGTTTATAGAAAACAATTAAAGGCTCTACCTACCTTGTCCAGTTTGACACCGTCGACCACTTTCAAAAGAAAAGAGATTCGAATCATAGCCATAGCGTCGTAGGCAGAGGTAGTGCCATTTTACTGAGTCACGTTTGCGCGTATATAAGATCAGTTCTGTGTCTGTAAGTTCCATTATGCCAGAGCCTAACTCATTCCCATCATCATCCACATTAATGACCTAAACAAAGAAAGTCTAATTAGTGCTAGCCTAATGCTTCCACTCGACAGTCATACTCATATTTCACCAATTGCTGATTGATTCAGTTAGTCGTTCCGTTATTAGTTCATTCATCAACCAATGTGCGTGTAGGACTCTGTAGCTGTATAATACATAGTTTATATCAGCAAGGAATTCACCTTCCCACTGGGCAGATAAGTTCACGTTAAGATAAGACCTTGTACTACTGAGTTCCAGAAAACAGCCTTAAACTGTGAAGACAGGTCTCACTTAGGGAGAACTTACTATACCCCCCTGTAAAAAGGCAAAGTGTTTTACATGTATTTTTCCCATTTAACCCTCATCACACTTATAAACTAGGTGATACTGTTTTCTCCATCCTACAAAAATGAAACAAAGACTTAATGATACAACCTGTCCAAGGTCACGAAGCGATGAAGCAACAGGGTTGTGACCTACACCTAGGTGTGTATGATCCAGAGGCTATGATTTATAACAGACTATGCAAGACTTCAAGAGACTAAATAGCTGTGAATGAGTAAGGAGTGGAGGTTTAGCTTCTAGGTAAGAGAACACTACAGAAGTTTCAGAATGATGAAAGAGGAAGATTAATTTGATGTCAACTGCAGGATGGATCACAGTGGTTTCTCAAGGTAGATAGAGTCCAGCTAAGACATTATCCAGGCATGAACCAATGGCTGGAGGTAGAATCAATGACTAAAGAGGAATGTATAAAATGGCATTTTAAAGAAAGTAATACCAGAACTGGGTGGCTACCTGAATATAGAGGACCAAAGGGAAAATAAAATAATATTCCACATTGTCAGTAAGAAAATGTCACCATCATTTATTAAAATAAGAAAAGGCAGAATGAACAAAAAGGGAAGTAAAAGGGTCTATAGGTAAAAGTGAAAAAGATATATTAAGTGAAGTAAAAGAATATCCAAGAGGGCAGTAAGAGTAATTCAAGCAGTTATACTGACCTTAAACTTGTTCCGATGGTTGTCTGGGACAGTGTCTTTACCTGGACAGCTACAACAGCTACCCATGGCTTCTTTCAGAAGACCATGTGAGCACTACATGAAAGATAATTTACAAAATATTAGACATAGTATATAAAAATCATAAAATTTAAAAAAAGGTTTTAGAAATCATCTACCACAAACTCTGCATTATTTTGATGAGGAAAATTAAGTCCAAGAAAGTATATGCAACTAACTGGTGAATTTGGCTCAGAGACAATGACGGTAATTTTGTGAGGTAGATGTCACAGAAATTTCAAATTTCCAGTTTAATTTGCAAAGGTCTGCTTATTTTAAAGTTATCTTAAAAAGCAAGACAATCTAAAATTTCATATGTAGCACTATTTAAATAAAGTCATTCACGGAATTAACCTTTTATGGCTCATCAGGAATTTCATGTCCCTCTTTTAATAAATTTCCTTAGGGATGCTAGACTTGTGGCTTGACAGGTTTTTTTATTCCTGACTGTAGTATCTTTTATGTAGTCCACCAGACAAGAGCTCATTGGTAAATAAGACACAAAAACAAACCTGGAATAGCTCACTAAGAGAGAAAGACAACTCAAAATTTAAGCATTATCTTAAAGAAAATATTGGCAACGCTGAGTGTATCTATCTGATTCTGCTTTCCCACAGGTTATAGATAACAGGTTACAAGGGACATTCAGTATTCAGTAACACTCCAAATGAACAAAGGAAAAATTTAAAATGTCACTTACAAACAAGGGAAAGGGAATGAATGTGACAATATTTGAAAAGGGGAGAGAGAGAAAAAGCACCAGAAGCTAACCTTAAAAGCATAAATCTGATTAAAACTTGCTTGAAATTCTTCAGTGGCTCTTTATTACATTCAAGGAAAAACTGAAAGCTTGCCAGTTTGCCATGAGGTCCTTCCCCGTCTGGTCCCTGTCTACAGATCTAAACTCTTCCTTCTCTCTGCTCCAAGCCCTACCAGGCACATTCAGCAGTTTCCCAAGAGCATCTTGTTCTCTCACACCCTTTCACGCTGCTCCCCTTCTGCTATTTTCCTTTCTCAAGATTCAACCCAGAGTGGTGTGTTCAGGAAGCCTTCTCTGACTCCAAACAACTGGGTGAATGATACTTCATGTAACCCACCACCCACTCCCAGGACCCTGGGCTTCCCATATCACAGCATCTTTCACACTGATTACTTTTGCAGAAACTGTGGTAGATTATTTACTTGTCTATCTCCTTCCCTCCACTAGGGGCTCCTTTCCAGCAGGGATGAAACTTAATCATTTTTGCACTGCCCATGCCAAACAGAACACCTAGCACGCAGTCTCTTAAAAGTCTCTTATAAGCTGAATGAACTGTATGAAACAAAGGTAAAGAATGCCTGAGAGGTATAAGATGAAAAAGTATACTAGTGAATAAACCAAAAAAAGTGATAAATAAAATAGCAAAATTAATTAAGACTCATTTTAGTATTTTGCTCCGATATGCCACCTAAATATCATGGCACAGAGACAATCAAGTCAGAGTATGTACCTCTGAAGAAGCATGAGTCTAAAGGAAAAGACAGAGATGTAAACAGATAATGTATTATGATAAACCTTACATTCGAATATAAGAAAAGTTCTATGGGTATAGAAAATGGAGCAACTGACTTTGTGGGTTAGGCAGGGAAGAGAAGCACAATTTGAGTTGGTACTTAAAAAGGTGAGCAAAAACAGTGTATTAGGCAAAAAATAGAAATAAGTACTTGAGACAGATAAGAGATTGCAAAGACAGAGGTCATGAAAGGTTGGTTGCACTGCATTCAGGAGTAAAGGGCCCAGTACAACTAGAGTTGAGGGTAGGCTACACCACAAGCAGGGGCCAAACCAGAAAGCATCCTGAACAAGGGAGGGATATGGGACACCAATCGATTTGAAGCTAGACTACATCCAGTGTTCCCACAGTCAAAAGGACATGACTCTATCGTGGCATGTATTTATTCTACTGTAATATGTATCTGTCTCACCACCCACTTCACTGTGACATTCCTGAAGATGAGAACCTTGCCTTCTTAATTTTCTAGGACACTAAGCATATACCTGATATAGCACACAGTCCATAATGTTTACTCTTTAAAAATTAATAAACTTTTAATAAATTATAGGAGAAAAGGCAAAAAGTATTTTTAAACTATTTAAAGATTTATTTATTTTTAGAGAGAGGGGAAGAGAGGGAGGAAAAAAAGAGAAGAATATTGATGTGCAAGAGATACATCAATCAGTTGCCTCTTGCACACCCCCAAATGGGAACCTGAACCGACAAACTTTTGGTTCACAGACTGGCACTCAATCCACTGAAGCACACCAGCCAGTGTGAAAACCTTTTAAAGCAGAAAGAAAATTGATTAAAAAACAAACAAAGTTTCTTCAAATTACATGTTTATCCACTGACCTCCTCATGAATATAAAGAGCTAAAAGATTACTACAATGCAGCTTTGGCCTCAGAAGATGGTGCTTCAAAGGTATATTTTAAAACTATTTCTCAAAAGGAGTAAAAAAATCATCCTTCCACTTGCCATCTTCACAGGCCACCTAAGCCAGCCCCTCCCATGTTGGCAGGATATTTGAGCGGTGGTGCAACCCACTTGGAGACTCTATGGACACTGAGTACTTCAATACAACTGTAATTAATGAGAGCCTACCATGAGATACAAAAGTCTTGTATGCCATAACGAGGAGAATGGATTTTATCCTACACAGGAAGGAAAGCCACTGAAGAATTTTAAGCAGGAAAGTGGTGGTCAGGACTTCATTATAAATATATCCATCTGCAGCATAAATTTAAGTCAAAGTCTAGCTCAGAAGAAGGGAAATCAGTTAGAGACTATTTTAAAAACAGAAATATGCTAAACGCCTAAAACCAGAACAGCAACAGTGGGGACAGAGACGAAAAGATGCATTTAAGAAGCACTTCTGAAGACAAGTCACTGGCACAGAGGCGCTGGGCTAGGTACCAGGGAAGGCAGAGGCAGTTGCCGGGGGGCAGGTGAAGGGTGCTGGCTCCATCACCTGAGAGGAAAAACCGGTGTCCGCAAGTGGAAGTAACAGTGATTAATTCATTTTTAGACATGCTAAACTGAGACTCTAGAGAACAATAAAATGGAGATATGCAATAGAGAGTTATGTACATGACTATAGGTTGAAGGAGGTAAAATACTGGAACACATGTGGTATCGAAAGCTACACACAGAAGACACTGCTCAAGGACAGTATGGACAGTGGTCTGAGGCTGAAATCCCAAGGAATATGAATGTATAAGCACTGAAGTAGAGAGAAGCAAGTGAAGAAAAATAAAAAGATAGGAATAGTACAGATTAAGAAAAAACAGTGTCAGGAAAGAGAATTCCATCCTTAGAGTAGCAGAGGCAGAAGCCAAACTGCAGTGAGCAGATGAAAGGTAAGGAAGCAGCCCCCAGAGGATGGAAACCGCTCTTTCAAGAACAAGTTGAGATGGTAGAGTACAGTGCTAGGGTATGGACAGACATGGTTTGAAAAGAAAATATGATACTTGAATTATTTACTGTTTTATGATGACAAATTTATGCAGGTTTGTAATCAGTTGGTCAGGAAAGGTTTTAAAATGTAGGAAAAAAACGAAGGAAAGAGAAGGGGAACAAAGCATGGATTAAGACAGAGAGAAAGACTAAAGAAGATGAGTTCTGGGGTTCAGGCTAAGACATTTGACCAGAGGAGGAGGAGGAGAAATACCTCAGCTTCTGAGGGGAAAGGGAAGAAAATAAGGATGTGTGGAGCATAGTGGAGAAGCCAAAGAAGATCAACATCTATCATTCGCAATTTCCTTTGTAAAATAGAAAGCAAGTTTGCAGCATGAAGAAAATGAAAGGATTATTCACTGAGGAGCTAACCAAGAAAGACTACAGAATTACTAAGTAGGCTGTGCGGAGAGCTCAGAGAGGCTGCAAAGATATGCTAGTTTTCTAGCTGCGTTCACCATTCCAGCAGGTAGAAAGCTCAACTCACCCCGGATCATTCGAAGGAATCGGCAATACCCGGGGTTGGGGATGTTGGGGAGTGTTTCTAAAGTGATAGATATTGCATCTGGTCAGAAAGAAGTAAAGAAGGAGGCTGACAAAATAGGAGAAAATGAAGGCAAAAAGGAAGAGAAGGCTTCAGTAGGGTTGAAGAACAGGTTTAGTATGAGTGAGAAACTAAGTCAGCTGGAACAACAGGCAGCTGTGGTATATTTTCAACATAAAAGGGGGCTTTTTAAAAATATGGAGTTTTCATCTTTATCTCTGGCTCCTCTTCCTAAGCCACAAACTCCTAGGCAATGAGAAATGCAAGATACTAGATATTCTTCATTTATGACCACCAGACTAATATCTGGAGACCATATCTGAGTTACGTAAAACCTAATAATATGTACTAATACTGTAAACACTTGATAAGAAACCATGAGATCTCATCATCTCACAGCACCACGTTCATAACTCAGCAAAAACACAAACAGACTTACTATGCTCCCTTAAGAAAGCAACTTAGAAAGTAACTAGGGTACAAAAGATAGCTACTGTTTGGGATGATCAATATTGCAACAGTTTGCTGAATATTTTAAATTAGTAAACACTGTCTTAGTTTAACTAAAGCCATTTGTCCTTATTATTTGGATGTCGAGGTGACAGCTAATCAGCAGGCAAAATGACTGCATTCAAGAAAATATGATTAAAGGAGAGACTGACATTAATATAGTCTTAGTAGGAAATTTTAATCTCCCACTGACATCAATGGATAGATTTTCCACGCAAAAAAATCAACCAGAAAAGAGTGGCTTTAAATTATAACTGGACCAGATGGATTTAATTGATCATTTTTCAGCATTTCGCCCCAAAGCAACTGGATATATACATTATTTTCCAGGTGCGCATGGAACACTTTCTAAAATAGACCACATATTAGGACACAAAACAGGTCTCAAGAAAGAAGATTAAAATCATATCAAGCATCTTCTCCAACCACACTGGTATAAAACTAGAAATCAATTACAGGGAAAAAACTCATTGATAAACACACAAACCCATGGAGGCTAAATAACATGTTATACAATAAATGGACTAAAAATGAGAGTAAGGAAGAAATCTACTTAGCCTGAGACAAATGAAAATAAACACACAACTACCCAAATTCTATGGGACACAACAAAAGCAGTTGTTAAGAGAGAAATTCATAGCAATACAGGACTACCTCAAGAAGTAAGAAAAATCTTAAATAAACAATCTAACCTTATACCTAAAATAACCAGAAAAAGAACAACAAAGCACAAAGTGAGTAGAAGGAAGAAAGTAATAAAGATCAGAGTGAAAATAAACAATATAGAGACTAAAAAACAGTACAAAAGATCAATGAAACCCAGAGCTGGTTCTTTGAAAAAATAAACAAGACTGGTAAACCTTTAACCAGACTCATCAAGGAAAAAAAGAGAGGACCCAAATAAAATCAGAAACAAAAGAAAAGTAACAACTGAAACCACAGAAAGACAAAGGAATATGAGAAAATATTACAAACTAATTGGGCAATCTAGGAAAAAAACAGATAAATTCCTAGAAATATACAATCTCCAAAACTGAATCAAGAAAAATAAAAAAATTGGAACATAGTGATTACAACTAATGAAATCAAAGCAGTAATCAAAAAACTACAAGCAAACAAAAGTTCTGGACAAATGGCTTCACAGGAAAATTTTACCGAATACTGGAAAAAGAACTAACACTGATCCTTCTCAAACTATTCCAAAACTTTCAAGAGGAAGGAAGACTCCCAAGCTCATTTTGTGAGTCCAGCATTACCCTAATTCCAAAACCAGATAAAGACACTATAAAAAAAGAAAATCATAGGCCAATATCCCTGATGAATATAGATGCAAATATTCTCAACAAAGTATTAGCAAACCAAGTCCAGCAACACACAAGAAAAAGATCACACACCACAATAGAGTGGGATTTCTTCCTGGGATGTAAGGTTGGTATATTATCTGCCAATCAATTAATGTAATACACTACATAAACAAAAGATAATCACATGATCATATCAATAGATGCAGAAAAAGCATTTGCAAAAAATCCAGCAACAATTTATGATAAAAAAAACTCTCTGAAAAGTGGGAATAGAGAGAACATACCTCAATGTAATAAAGGCCTTATATGACAAATGCACAACCAACATCATACTCAATGTGGAAAAACTAAAAGCATTTCCCTTTAAGATCAAAAACAAGACAAGGATGTCTGCTTTCACCACTCTTAACACAGCACTGGAAGTCCTTGTCACAGCAATTAGACAAGAAGAAATAAAAGACATCCAAATTGGAAAGAAAGAAGTAGAACTGTCATTATTGGCAGATGACATAATATTGTATACAGAGAACCCTAAAGACTCCACCAAAAAACTATTAGAACTGATAAATGAACTCAGTAAAGTAGCAGGATACAAAACTGATATTCAGAATTTGGTTGCATTTTTATAAACCAATAATAAACTATCAGAAAGGGAAACTAAAAAGAAATCCCATTAACATTGCATCAAAAGTAAATACCTAGGAATAAATTTAACCAAGGAGGTAAAAGACCTGTACTTGAAATATTGTAAGACACTGAAGAAAGAATCTGAAGACACAAATAAATGGAAGCATATAATGTTCTTGGATAGGAAGGATTAACATCATTAAAATGTCCATACCACCCAGAACAATCCATACACTGAACACAATTCCTATCAAAATAACACTGGTCTATTTCACAGAATTAGGGCAAATAATTTAGAAATTTATATGGAACCACAAAAAAATAACTCCGAAAAGCCTCTGCAATATTGAGAAAGAAGAACAAAGTTGAAGGTATCACACTACTTGATATCAAACTATACTACAAGGTCATAGTAATCAAAACAGCATGGTACTGGCATAAAAAAACAGTCATATAGATCAACGAAACACAATTGAAAGCCCAGAAATTACCCTGACTGGAGTGGTTCACTTGATTGGGCATCATACTACAAACCAAAAGGTCTCCAGTTCAATTCCTGGTCAGGGTACATGCCTGGCTTGTGGGACATGCCTGCCGCTTACGGGACATGCTTGGCTTATGGGTTCAGTCCCTGGTCGGGGTACAAGAGGCAACCAATTGATGTTTCTTTCTCTCTCTCTCTCTCTCCCCCCCTTTCACTGTCTCTAAAAATGCATAAATAAAATTGTTAAAAAGAAAAAAGAGAGCCCAGAAATAAACCCATAATTACATGGTCAATTAGTATTTGACAAAGGAAGAAAAAACATACAATGGGATAAAGACAGTCTATTCAATAAATGGTGTTGAGTAATTAGACAGATATGTGAAAAAAATGAAACAAGACCACCTCCTTACACCACATACAAAAATAAACTCAAAATGGATTACAGTCTTAAACATAAAACTCGAAACCATAAAAGTCCTAGAAGAAAACATAGGCAGTAAAATCTCAAACACTTCTCTTAGCAATATTTTTTCCAATATATCTTCTCAGGCAAGGGAGACAAAAGAAAAAATAAATAAATGGGTTACATTAAACTAGTTTTTACACAGCAATAGAAACCATCAACAAAACAAAAAGACAACCTACTAAATTGGCGAACATAATACATTAGGGGGCTAATATCCAAAATTTATAAAAAACTCGTACTACTCAACAACATAAAAGCAGACAATCCAATTAAAAAAATGGGCATAGGACCTGAACAGACATATCTCAAAAGAGGACACAGAGATGGCCAATAGATACATGAAAAGATGCTCAACACCACTAATTGTCAGAGAAATGCCTATTAAACCACAATGAGATATCACCTCACACCTGTCAGAATGGCTATCATCAATAAATGTACAAATGACAAATGTTGGCAAGGATGTGGAGAAAAGGGAACCCTTGTCCCCTGGGAATGCAGACTGCTGCAGCCACTGTAGAAAATAGTATAGAGTTTCCTCAAAAAATTAAAAATGGAACTGCCTTATGACCCGGTGATTCCACTTCTGGAGATTTATCCAAAAAAACCCAAATCCCTAATACAAAAGAATGTATGCACCCAAATGCTCATTGCAGTGTTATTTATGATAGCCAGGATATGTAAACAATGCAAGTGCCCACCAACAGACAAGTGTATAGAAAAAGCTGCAGTACATATATACAATGAAATATTACTCAGCCATAAAAAAGAATGAAATCTTACCATTTGCAACAGCATGGATGGACCTAGAGGGTATTATGCTCAGTAAAATAAGTCAAGCAGAGAAAGACAAATACCATATGATTTCACTTATATATGGAATCTAAAGAACAAAATAAACAAATAAAATTGAAACAGACTCACAGACGCAGAGAGTGGACTGGTGGTTGTGGAGGGAAGGTGGGTTGGGGAACAGGGAGAAAGAGGTGAAGGAATGAAGCAGCAAAAATTGGTAGTTACACAACAGTCATGGGGATGTAAAGTACAGCATAGGGAATATAGGAGATATACTGTAACAACTATGTATGATGCCAGGTAGCAACTAGAAATATCAGAAGGAATACTTTATAAAGTCTATGACTATCCGATATGCACCTAAAACTAATATAAAATAATACTGAATATGAACTATAATTGAAAAATTAAAATTGAAGAAAAAAAAACATTATCAACATCTCTTGTTTAAAAAATGTGACTTGTGGACTTAATGAATTTTTTTTTAAGGTAAAATTCAACTTACCTAGATCTGGCCATTAATATTCTTAGCCTCTGCTGCAGCATCAGGAGTTTAATCATACTTCAAAATACCATGTTTTTTTGTTTGATGACTTAACCTAAAAAAAAAAAAAATGAGACTTTCTTATTTCTTTTAAAATAATAACTGTCTTTATGAGACTTCTAACAGAACTGTAAGTTCAAATCATCTAATAAATAAGATATATTTTAAAAATTAATGTGAGGTACAGGTATTATTATTAACATGGCCTTTTCAAAAGATAGAGTAAAAATGCAATAGTCTGAGTTGTATGAAGTTTGGATAACAGGACTTTTAGAAGCCACTGACTGTGGTTTCTCCACTATAGCTATGACTTCCCTATACTTATCTCTTCAGCCATGAGAAGTTAGACTAAATCACCCAAGATTCCTTTCCAGCTCTAAAACCTCTTTTAGCCAGTGTCAGGCTAATTTTCCACCTTCAGTCACTTTTTCTAAACCTCACCATCACTCTCCCAAAGAGCTGACTCTCTATAGAATACCCACTCAGTATCTTCCTATTCTACAAGGCCCCCAGAGCCAAACCAGGAGTCAGTCATCACTGAACAGTCCATATGAATGGACATGCCATGGACTCACAGGACAATATACTCATTAAGTTATGGCAATCTAGTACAATCTCAAGTTTCAAGAGATTTCAATATACTTTTGAAACTTTTCTGGTGAATTTATTCACATTTTACAGCACAGAAAAAATTTAAACTCTAACACGGGTACTAAAATTTACTGCTACACTACATTAGGCGTTATGTTAGAGATTTTGCAAACAGTGTCACTTTAATCTATATATCGACTCTCAAGAGTTAACAAGTATGACTGATATCCAAAACGAACATTTCCAAAACCATGCATCCATACTCAATCAAACATTTCAATTCTGTATTTCAAACCTGTATATAAAATCGGTGGCTCAGCCAGGTGTTTGCTCGTTCCTCTCATTAGGTGTTGCTACACCCCACGTTAGGGTGGGCAGCAACCCAGTACCTCTTCCTTAGCACATCTTTTTTTCCCAAAAAACTAAACACACATCATGCTTTGTCTCTGGCTTGCAAAACTGTCCAGTTAATTCTACCATAACCCATTGCTCTTATATGAATACATATTCTATTTGTCCATCTCTCTTTTAAGAAAGTTTAGCCAATCAAGAATCTCAGAAAAATCTCTCTTCTTCTCTTTATTCATTCCACTTACAAGCATCCCCCAACCTCCATCCTGAAATGAGTAAATGACAGTAAACATAATTAAGAGAATTAGAGCGATCTGTCCATACCACTTTATCAAGTAAAAGTCCTAATTCTTGAAATGAAACATATTAAAGAATCAGTGTACCAACCTATAAAGCTCTTGAAAACATTAAAAAGCCTCCACTAGAATCTCTGAAAACTTGTTATTCTGTCCCACCATCAGATCTCTTTTTTTTTCCTTTGTCCAATTTTTTTTATTGTAGTATAATACACACAACATAACATTTGCCATCTTCCCACTTTAAGGCATACATTTCAGTACTGTTAAATACATTCAATATTGTTGTGCAACCAATATCCAGAACTACTTCATCTTGCAAAATTGAAACTCTACCCATTAAACAATTCACTTCCCCTCTCATCATATCCTGGCAACCACCATTCTACTTTGTTTGCATACGTTTGACTGCTCTTGGTACCTCATATAAGTGAGCTCATACAATACTTATCTTTTTGTGCTTGCCTTATTTAACTTAGCTTAATGTCCTTAGAGTTCATTTATGTTGTAGCACGTGTCAGAATTTCTTTCCTTTTTAAGGCTAAATAATGTTTCATTGTACGCATATACCAAATTTTGCTTATCTATTCACCTGTTTAACATTTATCCACCTTTTGGCTACTGTGAATGCTACAAACATAGACATACCAAGTATGTCTTGGAGACCCTGTTTTCAATTCTTTTGGATATAGACCCAGAAGGAGTATTGCTTCTCGGGCTTTAATTCTATTATTGGACTATATGGTAACTCTATTGATAATATTCTGAAAAACCACCATACTGATTTCAGCAGTGGCTACACCATTTACATTTCCACCAGCAATGCACAAGGGTTCCATTTACATTTCCACCAGCAATGCACAAGGATTTCTTCACATCCTCGCTAACATTTGTTTTCTGTTTCTGGTATCAGCCATTCTAATAGGTGTGAGGTGGTATCTCATTGTAGTTTTGATTTGCATTTCCCTAATGATTAGTGATGTTGAGCATCTTTACATGTGATTTTTGGCCATTTGCTTATGTTCTTTGAGGAAATGTCTATTCAAGACCTTGGGCCATTTTTGAACCAGGTTATTTGATTTTCTGTGGTTGACTTTTAGACGTTCTTTACATATGCTGGCTATTTACTCTATTCAAGTATATAATTTGAAAATATTTTCTCCCATTCTGTGGGTTGCACTCTTCACTCTAGTGATACTGTCTTTTTTCTTCTTTTTAATTTTTATTTATTGATTTTTAGAGAGAGAGAAAAGAAAAAGAGAAACATCAATTTGATGCTCCACTTACTTATGCATTCACTGGTACGTTCTCAGATGTGCCCTGATCGGGGATCCAACCACAACCTTGGTGTATCGGGACAACACTCTAACCAACTGAGCTACCTTTCTTGATGTACAGTTTTTTTTACTTTTCAGGAAGTCCAATTTGTCTATTTTTGCTTTTGTTGCTTGTGTTTTTGGTGTCATATACAAAAAAGCATTGCCAAATCCAATTTTGTGAAGCTTTTGTCCTGTATTTTCTCCTAAGAATTTTATTGTTTTATGTCTGATATTTATGCCTTTGATTCAAGAGTTAGTTTTCATATATGGTGTTAGGTAAGGGTCAAAGTTCATTCTTTTACATGTGGACAATCAGTTTTCTCAGCACCATTTGTTGAAAAGACTGCCCCTCCCCCATTAAATTGTCTTGGCACCTGTCAAAACTTATTTGATCATGAGGGTTTTGGTCATGTGAGGTCTTATTTCTGGGTTCTCTCTTCTTTATGCCAGTACCACACTGTTTTGATTATTGTAGCTTTGTAGTAAATTTTAAAATCATAAGTTTAAGTTGTCCACTTTTGTTCTTCTTTTTCAAGATAGTTTTGGCTATCTGGGGTCTCTTTAGATTCCATATGAATTTTAGGATAGGTTTTTCTATTTTTTTGAAAAAAAATCATTGGGCTTTTGATAGGGATGGCACTGAATCTGTATATCTCTTTGGAGAGCACTGACATTTTAACATCATTACACCTTCTTATCCAGGAATACAGAATGTTTTATTTTTAATTTCTTATAGCAACATTTTAGAGTTTCCATTTGTACATGTCTTTTACCTCCTTGGTTAATAATTAACTCCTCAGTATTTCATTCTTTTTGATGTTGCTATATATAAAGTATTTTCTGTAATTTCCTTCTCAGATTGTTCACTGTGTATGGAAATGCAACTAATTTTTGCATTGAGTTTGTGTTCTGCTTTTTTGCTGAATTCATTTATTGGTTTTAAGTCTTTTATGTGGAATCTCTGGGGTTTTCTACGTATAAGATCTTATCATCTGCAAACAAAGATCATTTTACTTATTCCTTTTCAGTTTAGATGCCTTCTATTTCTTTTTCTTGACTAATTGCTCTGGCTAGAACTTCCAGTGCTGTGTTGAATAAAAGTGGTCAAAGCAGGTATCCTTGTCTTGTTCCTGATCTTAGAGGAAAAGCTTTCAGTCTTTCACTATTGGGTATGATGTTCACTGTAGGTTTTTCATATATGGCTTTTATTATATCAAGGTAGTTTCCTTCTATTTTTAGCTTTTTAGTGTCTTTATGATGAAAAGATGTTGAATTTTGTTAACTGTTTTTTCTGCACCAATTGAGATAATCATGTGTTTTCTATCTTCCTTTTGTTAATGTGATTTATTATATTGACTGGCTTTTGTATGTTGTACCATCCTTGCATTCCAAGAACAAATCCGACTTTGTCATGGTGTATAAGCCTTTTAATGTGACTGAATTCAGTTTGCCGGTATTTTCTTGATGATTTTTGAATCAATGTTCATAAGGAATATTGGTCTGTAGTTTTCTTGTAGTGTCTTTGTCTGGTTTTGTTATCAGGGTAATGCTGGCTTCTTAGAATGAATTAGGAAGTGTTTCCACACCTTCAATATTTTGGAAAAGTTTGAGGATTGATATTAGTTCTTCTTTAAATGTTTGGCAGAATTCACCAGTAAAGCCAGGCCTTTTCTAGTAAAGAGATTTTTGATTACTGATTCAATCCCTTTACTAGTTACAGGTCTACTCAGATTTTCTAATTCTTTGTGATTTAGTTTTCGTAGGTTTGCTGTTTACAGGAATCTTTCCTTTTCATGTAGGTTGTTTAATTTGTTGGTGTACAATTGTTCACAGTGCTCTCTTACAATCCTTTTTATTTTGGCAGAATCAGTAGTGCTGTCCCCCTTTTATTTCTGATTTAAGTAATTTGAGTCTTCCCTCTTTTTTTCATAATTCATCTAGCCAAAATCTGTCAGCTTTGTTAAATTTTTCAAAGAACCAACTTTTAGCTGTATTTATTTCCCTTGAGATTTCATATTTGATAACTGGTTGTTTAAAGTGTTGTTTAAGATCCACAATTTTGTGAATTTTCCAGTTTTCCCCCTGTGTTTGATTTCTAACTTCATCCCCTTATGGCTGAATATAAGATACTCTGCATTTGTATGAGAGCTACCTTTTAAAGTCTATAGACTTAATTTGTGGCCTAACATATGGTCCATCCTAGAAAATGTCTCATGTGCACTTGAAAAACTGTTTATGCTATTATTGTTGGGTAGAGTGTTCTGCCTGGTTACCTATCCATTATTGTGAGTAGAGTATTAATGTCTCCAACTATTATTATAGAACTACTTCTCCCTTTAATTCTGTCATTTTTTTTGCTTTGTATATTTTGATGACCTGTCATTAGGCACATGAATGTTTATAACTGTTCCATTTTCTTGCTCTACTGAATAGTTTATAAATATTTTATATAATGTTCATCATCTCTCATAACTTTTTAAAAGTCTTTCTTGTCTGATATTAGTAATTACCCCTCCCCTCTTACTTTTTGCACATATCTTGTTCTGTATTTTTACTTTCAATCTACTTGTGTCTCTAATTCTCAAGTGAATCTTTTGTAGACAGTATATAAATGGATCATGTTTTTATACATTCTCCAAATTTGTCTTCTGATTGGAGAGTTTAATCTATTTACATTTAAAGTAATTACTGATAAGAAAGGACTTATTTGTCGTTTTGCTATTTGTCTTCCATATACCTCTAAGAGTTTTTTTGTCCCTCATTTTCTCCACTCCTGTCTTCTTTTGTGTTTAAGTTTTTGTAGTAAGGTGTTTAAATTCCCTTCTCATTTCCTCTTGTATATATTCTATAGCTATTTTCTTTGTGGTTACTATGGGAATTACATTTCACATTCTGAAGTTATAACAACCCAATTTGAATTTATACCAGCTTAATATAATACACAAAAACTGTGCTTCTTTATAGCTCTGTCCTCACTGCTTTCAGTTACTGATGTCACAAAACTATACCTTTATACAGTATACCCAAAAACATAAACAAAGAATTAAAGTATTCATCCCTTAAGTTATATAGAAAAGAAAGTGAAAAACCAAAGTTTAAATACTAAGCTTTTAGATAAGTTAGTTTTTCTTCAAATGTACTATTCTCTTAAATACTAAATCAGAGAACAAAAAGTGCGGTTACAAATCTTAGTTATAATAGTACTAGCTTTTAGAATTCCCTTGTGTTTACCTTTAGTGAGATCTTTATTTCTCCATATGGCTTCAGGTTACTGTCTAGCGTCCTTTTGTTTCACCTTGCAGGCTTCTCTTTCTTAGGAAGTGCATTTCTTACAGAGAAGATCTGGTGGTAATAAACTCCCTAGGCTTTTGTTTATCTGGGAGTGTCTTCATTTCTCCCTCATTTTTCAAGGACAGTTTTTCAAATATAGGACTGTTTGGTTGACAGGTGTTTTATTGTTTGTTTGTTTGTTTCTGTCTTTTAGCACTTTCAGTGTTTATGTCCACTGCCATCTAGCCTCGAAAGTTTCTGAAGAGCAATTTGGCAATAACCTTATTGAAGATCCCTTGTATGTACAAAGTACATACAACAATAATAATTTGCTTCTCTCTTGCTGCTTTCAAGATTCCTGTCCTTGGCTTTTGGGAGTTGGATTATAATTTGTCTTGGTGTGTATCGCTTTGGGTTAGTCCTACCTGAAGTGCAATGAGCTTCTTGGACGTTTATATTCATGTTTCATCAAATACTCTCTCTGCCCCTTTCTCTCTCTTCCCCTTCTATAAATCCCACAATATGTAAGTCCACTTGAAGGTGCCCCACAGATCCCTTAGGCTTTGCTCATTTTTCTTACACCTGTTTTCTTTCTGTTCCTCAGACTTGATAATTTCCATCGTCTTATCTTCAACTTTCTTGAGTCTTTGTTCTGCCGGCTTACATCAGACTTTGAATCCTTCTACAGATTTTTTTCATTTTAGTTATTGTACTTTTCAGATCTAGAATTTCTATTTGGTTCCTTTTTATGTTTTCTATCTCTTCATTGAGATTTCCTTTATTCATACATCATTTTTTTGACTTTTTCTACATCATCCTTTAGTTCTTTGAGTATGTTTAAGATAGTTGTTTTAAAGTCTTTGTGTAATATATCTGCCATCAAGTCTTTTTCATGAGCAGTTTCTATTGATGTTTTCCCCTTCAAACGGGCCATACTTTTTTATTTCTTTGAATGCTTTGTGATTTTTTGTTGTTGTTGAATATGGGACATTTGAATCTAATAATGGTGTAACTACTGAACTCAGAGTCTCCCCCAATGTTTGCTGTATTTTGTTAGTTTAATTTTTTTGATTGTAGACTGTCTCTGTACCAACCATCAGTCTGACGTGTAAACCTAAGGTGTTCTCAGGTCTTTTCTGAGCCTTTTTCTGGTTGCACTTTCTAAATGTTCCTGTATATGCAATTGTTTTGGCTCCCAAAAAGGGAAAAAGGAGAAAAATGAATGAGTGGTAGCCCTTTAAATTCCCTAGAAGTAATTTCAGCTGGAGGGGAAGGTGCTTGCAACAATGGGGAGGGGCAACATCAATGGCTGCCCACCCCTTGGTCTACACCTGTTATCAAAAGCAGCAATCAATGATCCAAGCACAGATCCCTGATACTTGGAGAAGAGGGTCCTTTTGTCCTATCCTGGCTCCTACAAACTGTGTGTAAGGTGTCCAGGGCTGGGAGTAGATGAGGGGTGGCTGATAACTGTGTTGAAAGCTGAAACTGACTAAAATGAAGTGCAATTTTACATCTAAGTCTTTTCTCCTGGAAGCTGCAAATATTCAATAACCACAGAGTTCTAGAATAATTACACCAGATTCTGGCAGTGCAACTGTTACCTAGGTGGAGAGACATATTCCTGATGCTTCCTACTGCATCATCTTCCCAGACTCCTCTCCAGACCTTTTTGTGAGGATCAATATATATTCAGTTTTATTGTTTTAAATACTTTGAATATTGGCACTGCCAAAGTACTGTGGAGTTTTTGCTTGTTTTTATGTACCAATATCCAGCATGTTAATTGTAACAGGGATTAAAAGAATGTATGTTCCTTATTTAAAAGGATACTTTCTACAAGAAGACACGTTTGGATTCCAAATAACTGATATACCACAATACACTTGGAATGAAGACAACGCAATGGACTGCAGATGTCCTGCCACTCGCTTTGGAACGCAGATACCTTAGATACTCTCCGTGACTGCTTAACTTCCTTAGGGTTCTTCCTGCTAGGAGAAGGCTTAGAACCAAAAGGTGATTGGGAAATAGTGAAAGGGCAGAGGTAGCGATAACCACTATATGGATCTATGATCTTATTGTAACGCGGATATTTTTCTACAAAATAGGTATGTATAGCAGCATTTACTATGATTCTATGCGCAAGAACACAATGACTGTAACAGAATAATCATCGAGAAGCTAAAAATTATACTAAATACTATCTACTAGCACCTTATTTTTCAACAGTAACCCGATTTTAAAGCCCTGTGTGCCAGACACAGATTTATCTGGATTATCTCAGTCCATACAATCACCCTACAAGGTAGGCACTGCCATTATTTCCAAGTTCCAAATGAGGAAACCAAGCCTTGAAGAAGTTAGGCAGTTTTCCCAAAGTCAATAGCTGATAAGAGGAAGAACCAGAGTTAAATCCAGATCTGACTCTTAATAATTAATACATGTAAAAATCTTAAAATAGTGCCTAGCATATAGTAAGCACTTAGTAAACTAATGATGATGATTTATCTTAAAACAATGTTGTAAGCCTTTGGCAGCTGATCAACCTTTCTGTCCCTCAATGTCCTCATTAATGAGATTTGAACATCTATTTCACAGAGGTATTATAAAAACAAAATAATTTCAGGCTATGAAGACATTTAGAAAAATATATAGTGTTTAAAAAGACAAGGTATTATTATATTATCACTACCAGTAAAATCTGCCTCTTAAATCACAAAGAAGCCTTTTGCACTATACACACAGATTCCTAAAACTTAAGCACCATCCTCATAACAAGAGTTACATTAATAAATTTAGTAAAACTATCCTAAATTATTCCAATATGATTTTTGCAGACTGACAAGCAAAGAGAACACTGAACTCTATTCATAAGTGTGATTATAAATTTGGTGCTCAGGAAGGTGTATTTGCTCTTTCAGTTCACTAGCACTGAGGGTGAATTTGGCCTATAACTACAGAAGTTCTACAGTTAGAAACTTAATAATATAACTCTAAATTTTGGGCATAGCTAACTGCCATATTTAATTACATTCAAACAATCAAGAGAATGGCATTCAAAAACCTGTTCTTTGTGTCAATCGTCTTGCTATGCTGTTCTTAAACTATTGGGTAGGTCTTTTTTTATTGATATGCACTAGTGTTCAGATTATTCTTAACACTGCTAAGGATTTTTCATTATATTTACATTATTCTAAGGAAAAGAAATTTTTTAAAAAGGTAAGGAGGGAGGTCTGTCACTATATTCTGCTAATCACCTAAATGAGAACCATTCTGAGAAAGGTAAGGACACCTGCCACATAGCTTCCTTGTTAGCTAAAAATTTAAAGTACAAATGTACACACAAAACCAAAAAAAAGTATCTAATTATTTTTAAGCATCTATCTATGAATATAGTTGCATCTGCGTATTACTAAATAGGTTTTTCTTCTTGTAGGTATTTTATTGTACTAAAGGGCAATGTTTGTGAACCAGGTTGCAATTCGTAACCCTTCATCCACACCACACTTTTTGAACTCTCAAAAAAACAAAAAAAAATCAATTAGAGTACTTACAAATCACTTCAATATGTGGTACTTTATCTTCTGGAAAGTCTTTGTCTAATCTAAATTCCTTGCACTGTAATTTAAATGAGATTCCTCTCATGTCTGTTTTCTCTGTAAGAGACAAGTTAAAACCAGGGTAATCAACAGAGATTAAGGACATGCATACATGTATTTAAACTGCCATTAATTCACTTTCTTATGGATAAATCTAAAATATTAATAAAGTAACATTTCTTTATTTCAGACATAGTTGTTAAAAATTACAACAAGGTTATTACTTAAAGTAATTTGTAGAAGCTACGAAGATTAAGGAGAGAATAAAAAATGAGTTCATTCATTTCTTCATATACACATTGAAGTATTCAACAAGTATTTTCTGAGCACTAAATCTCTTTGCCAGGCACTGAGTTAAATGCTAGAGATCAAGATATGCATTCCCTGATACAAGGAGCTTACTCTTCAGTGAAGGAGGCAGACAAGAAAATTAATACATGGCAAAGTTGCTGACCCATGCACTGGTGCCATCACAACATTTAACTCAGAGCAGAAGGAAAGAGAGAAGTGACGAGAGGATTCCTGGGAAAGGTGACCTCTAAGTCAAGTCCTGAAAGGCAGACTGGAGTTTGCTAGGGCAAGGGCAATCCAGACCAAGACAACTGCATGCAAAAACACAAAAGTATGAAAGAACATGGCCTGTTCCAAAAGCAGCAAGTAGTTCCTTATAACTGAAAGGCAGGTAACACAAGGGAAAACATTAGGAGATAGGCGTGCAGGGTAGGCTCATTCGATTTCATGAAGAGCCAGTTTGCACTACTGAGGGCTGTTCACATTTTCCTTTATAATCTTAAAGACACCCCTGTCCTACCAAATACTTTCTCCTAGAGGCAGAAAATCTAGAGTACATACAAAAACATCCAATTCCTAAGAATAAAACTAATGGTGTTTTATTATCTATGATGCCCAAAATTTGACATGAAAGTAACAGCATCCATCTATAAACATGAACATTCTCCCAACAGCATCTGTACCTGCAGCGAGTGTCATTGTAGAATGACTTAAACCTTAGATACCCCTTCCAGACCTAGAAAAAGTCACCCACTTTAACTTTGTATTTCACAATGAATTTGACAAAGTCACTTTCAATTATGCATTTTGACTTTTAGAAACTGAAATAAAAGAATCTATACCTGTATCTATATCTTTTTCTTTCAAATTTTTAAAAAATTGTCATTGGAGAATATGTTCATTGATTTTAGAGAGGAAAGGGGGGAGGGAGGGAGGGGTGGAGGGAGAGAGGGAGGAGATGGAGAGATGGGGAAGTGGGAGGAGAGAGAGAGAGGGAGAGAGAAAGAGAGACTCACTTCTGTGTCAGAGAGAAACATTAATTGGTTGTCTCCCTTACAGGCCCCAACTAGGTATCGAACCTTTAACTTTTTTTTGGTGTATGGGACAACAACCAACTGAGCTACCCTGCCAAGGTTGTATCTGTATCTTTATCTACCATCTACCAATCTATTAATCAACAACTATGTGTACTTATCAAACACTGATAAAACTGTGCTAAAATGGAAAGTGGTATAAAACACATCTCTGCCTTAATTCAATCCTAGAGTCATTTCTAACCTTGGAACATACTTATATCTAGAACCCCTTGTGATGAAATTTACACAATTAAGTCAGAGTACCCATAATCTCTGCCCTGAGATATTAAAAAAAACCTACAGATGTGCAAACCCAGCAGATGAGTCACCCCACCTTAGCTAATTCAATAATGTAATCAGTGCTGATGGCAAGGCTCCCAGCACCTTCAATCATAGGGGGAAAAAAATCATCAGCCTTGGGAACTCTCAAAGAAACTCCTAGTTCAGTGCTTTATGTCATGATATTAAAATATGACAAGGAAATCAAATATTATCCTCCAGCAACATCAAAGTGATAAACATTCTATATGACAGATCATGGAGCTCTCACCACTAAAAATTCAGACTGCACCATAAAAAGACAAGTAATTGTTTAAGACAGCAGAAGAAAGTACAAGCATTCTCCAGAAAGCATTTATCATTAATTCTGAAAATTGCAATGAATATATTTATCTTACAAAGACAGTGCACTCAATTTTTTGTAAGTATTTTACATCAGAATCCCATGTTTGTATTCTTCAACTCAGTTATTATTTCTATATATTAATCCATACAATTGTGTCAAATTAACAAATGATTACTTAACCCTATAATAAATCTCTAGTTCATAAATTTATTATTAGACACTCGTTTACTAGCAAGGACTGAACTCTAGCATACTATTTAACTTATGAGGTTTTACTAAACTGAGCCACAGTAGATCCCAAAAAAGAATTTTACAGTATTTTCCTCAGAATGGTACCTAATAGTTCTCAGAAAATGGTTGGCTTCATGGCTTTATTCTTTAAAACAACAAAACACTAAATGCAGATCACTGACCTTAAACTTCGTGTTTAATAAATATACAATGTATTCAGTAACAATCAACAAAACAATACAAGACATGCAAGAAAATCACCAGGCATTTTCACTTTTTATGTAATATGCTTAACCTAGAACTAAATAAACAATTAAAGATAACAAAAAAGCAAAAAAAGGGTAATTTGCAAAACCTAATGTACAAGTTGATAAGTAGAATATACCACAAATCTGTACTTCCAAGCTCAGATGGTTATCATGCTCCTTACTAGGCGCATATTAAAAGCCTAAATATTAACTGTGTCAATACACACAATCTGCACAAAATAAGCCAAATGCCAAGCAACTGTAACCCTCAAAACAAGTCATTCACTAATATCTCATCAGTTTCCACATTTAACTCAATCTAAAATGCTCTTAAACATATTCTCAAAAAAATACTATTTAGTTTCTACTTTTAGAGCAATATATTAAAAATTGTTACAAACTAGCAAACTTACCTGATTCAAATACACCACTACTAAAAATGTTCAATGCATGCGTGTGGTTTTTAACACTTCCTACCCTCACAAAATGTCCCCCAAAAAGTTAACCAGAAATATTTACATCAGAGTGCACCTATCCGTTTGATGTACTTTTATGAGGCCATTAATAAGCATTGCTTAAAGAATATTTAATAGCCCTGGCTGTTGTGGTTCAGTGGGTTGAGTGCCGGCTTGCAAACCAAAGAGTCACACGTTTGATTCCCAGTCTGGGTACATGCCTAGGTTGCAGGTCAGGTCCCAGTTGGGGGCAAGTGAGAGACAACCACACATTGATGCTTCTCTCCCTCTCTTTCTCCCTGCCCTCCCCTCTCTCTAAAAAATAAATAAAATCTTTAAAAAAAAGAAGAATATTTAATAAATTAAAAAATGGTCATGATATAAAGTTAAATAGAGAAAAAAAAAGGCCAAAATGCAATATGGTATTCTGAACTGGATCCTGGAACAGAAAAAGAACATTAGTGGAAAAACTGGCAAAATCCAAATAAAGCCTATGGTTTAGTTAATAATATTATACCTGAGTTAATGTCTTAGTTTTGACAAATGCACCATAGTTGTGCGTGGTTAACATTAGGTACATAATAATCTCTGTACTAGCTTCCTAATTTTTCTGTGATTCTAAAATTGTTCTGAAAAAAACTTACTTAAAAAATTACTATTAGTAACCAGTACCACATTTGAGAGGAATTCTTATTGAAAAGAAAAACAACCCTGGCTGGTGTGGCTCAGTGGACTGAGTGTCAGACTGCAAACCAAAGGGTCGACTCCCAGTCAGGGCACATGCCTGGGTTGAAGGCCAGGTCCCCAGTAGGGGACACATGAGAGGAAACCACACATTGATGTTTCTCTCCCTCTTTTTCTCCCTCCCTTCCCCTTTCTAAAAATAAATAAAATCTTTAAAACAAAAAAGAAAAATAGCCTTCACACTTATCTTTCTTCTATCCCTACACAAAATACACAAACTCAGGGGGAAAAAAACTAGACTAAAACATACTAAAATGTTAACATCGGTTCACTTGGTGATAATCTGAAAGGCATTTTTTTATTTATATTTTCTGTTGAGTGTGAATTGCTTTTATAATCAACAAATTATTAGTTAAAGAATATACAAATCAATATTTTATTAAAGACTTCTTTAGAAAGAAATGCTATAAATGTCTAAGCAGAGCCCAAAGGCAGACTGCATACAAAACAGGTTAGGGCAGAGTGTGGCCAAGGGAAATTGCCAGGAGAATTTAAGAAGGCAAAACCTAATTAGTAAATGCTGGAAATCAGCCAATGCACAGAACTTAACATCCACTCTTAGGCTCAAGGTGCTCACAGTCAGCAAAGTTATTCTCAGAATTCACATGCCTTAGGGGAATGTCCTGAAAGGCCCCCCTAATGCTAAGAATTTATGGATATACATAGTCTGGGTTTTTTCCAAACAAAAATAATGCAGTTGGGCATCTGGTGCACAACTGCCCACTGAGAGCTTCTAGAAACACTCCCCCAGTACCACAGTCTGTTCTTTCAGTTTTTCTCCTCTACTTATGTCTTTCTTCTCTAACACCTTCGTAACAACCTATACCCAAGTCCTTAGCCCTCAGGCCTAAAAATGGCACTCCGGTACCATTGAGCAACAAGGTTCTAGACACCACTGGGATTACAGACTCTGACCCTTTTTCAGATGTTTGACAGGTGAGTATCAAAAAGTTTTTCTTTGTTGTTTTTCCCCCTAACATTTGCAGGACAAAATATGTCCTAGGGAAACTCCATTAAGCCATAAGAGGGGATAATTAATCAACAGCAAATGTTCCCCAATCAGAATGAGAAAATAAAGCACATTTTGTCCTTAAAAAATGTGCCAGTGGCATCAGACAGACTGCATTTTGATAAAGAATCTTTTCCAAACTGTCATCAGGGTGATTTATGTGTGTCATCAGGCTGTTTGCCTCTAGTGAAACAGGGCTATGTGGCCAGTTCTGGGTTTTATGTTTGTTTTTTTAAAATAATTTTTAATTCTTACTTTGTTGGTCACCTTCATTCTCAGCTGATAGTATAGCAGGTCCCAGAACTGTCACTTAATAAACATGCACGTGTGTTTTTTGTTGTGTTTGTTTTTATTTTTAGTTTATCTTTTGACCCCTTA